ACACTGAGACATTTAGTAGATTCAGCCAACCACTCCATCAAATCCCCTACACAATTCCTGGACCAAATTAAGGACATCCAAATCAACAACGACGAACTGATGATATCCTTCGACGTGACAGCACTATTCACCTCAATTGAACCAAAATTAGCAAAAGAAACTATATCCCTGCTGCTCAACAACGACACAAACCTCACTAAATACACGAAGCTTCAAATTCAAAGTCTACAGGAACTCATCAATTTATGCCTAACAACATACTTTCAATTCAACAACAAAATCTACGAACAAACGAAAGGGACACCAATCGGATCACCAATATCAGGATTGATCGCAGAGGCAGTGATGCAAAGACTAGAAGCCGCTATATTACCAGTGATCAAACCAAAAATTTGGATTCGCTACGTAGACGGCACCTTCGTCATCGTCAAAAAGAATGAACTAGAAAACACTTACAACCTGATCAACAACGTCCTCGATGACATCAAGTTCACCACGGAACAGGAGTCAAACAACCAACTAGCATTCTTGGATATATTGATCACTAGAACCGACACAGGAAAACTGGAAACTCAAGTATATAGGAAACCGACCCATACGGATCAAATTCTCGACTACAATAGCAACAACCCCAGAGCTCACAAAATCAACTGCGTACACAATTTGTTCAAGAGGGTGAGGACACACTGGCAGCACGAAGAAATGAAGAGAAATACCTAAAGGATGTATTTCAGAAGAACGGCTACCCCGTCAACTTCATCAAAAAATACCAACCGCACGCAGCATTAGAACTCAAGTCAAGCACAAAAATCAACAAAAGGATCACCCTACCATATATACAAGGAATATCAGAAACCGCGACGAGACTGCTGAAAACCTTCGGAATAGGTGTGGCACACAAACCGACAAAATCACTACAATCAATCTTATGCAAACCAAAAGATGAAATAACAAAGGAAAACAAACCAAACATCATCTACAAGATAAATTGTGCCAACTGCGAAAAACACTACATCGGACAAAGTGGACGCCCCCTTCACCTTCGCCTACATGAACATCAATTAGCAGTCAAACGGCATGATATCTCTTCACTTATATCAATACACGTGGACAACTGCGGATACTCATTCGATTGGAAAAATGTGGAAATCTTAGACAGAGGAAACTCCAAAAACACCAGAGAATTTTTAGAAGCCTGGCACTCAGGTCAATCAGCAATCAACAAGCATATTGAAATCAATCCAATTTATCAACCAGTCAGAAAAATCATGCACAAACATAAGAACAAAAATCAAAACAATGGGAGACACAACCAAAACAAAGAAGTAAACAACGACAAATTTAAGGTCAATAAGAACCAATCAACGTCGAGGTGCACAGAACAAGCTTTGAGACACATATGGAGAAATTCAAACACTTCACTTCTATCTGAAGTTTGTGCTGATGATGTCGTTCAGAAGAACGATGAAAGCTCCATGACCAAACCATCCAGCTCAGAGAACAAAACTCCACCAAAATTTGGGAGAACACAAAGAGTGGATGCACCTGCGCCATTGCAAACGATTTTGAGCCATGTCATTCAACGTCTCTAACCACCGGTGGCTATCATCTCGCGGATCCCAACCAGGTAGTCTACACCTATCAACATGACTCAATCCACTTGTCTGTGACTTCATGAATTTGTGCCATGTTTGGTCTGGCCGCCCCTAGCTTTCTTCCAACCTACACTTACACCATAATACATCGCTCATCGGGGCATTCGGTGGTTGGGCATACGTAACACATGTTCCAGCCATCTCAACTGATCAAGTTTACCTACTTCATCAATTGACTTGCCATCCTTACCTAGTACCTGTTTACTAACAACTGAATTACTTACTCGATGGTCCCACGGTGTATGAGCAATGCTTCGAAGACACCTATGATCGAATAATAGTAACCTACGAATATACTCTACTCGTACCGGTCATGTTTCACTGCCATAAAGTAGGACGGAACGAACTGCTACACATATGGAGAAATTCAAACACTTCACTTCTATCTGAAGTTTGTGCTGATGATGTCGTTCAGAAGAACGATGTAAGCTCCATGACCAAACCATCCAGCTCAGAGAACAAGACTCCACCAAAATCATCCACCTGAGCTCCAAATCTTCACGTTCTCCCAAATTCTAATTTTCTGAATTCTTCATGTCGCTTTTTTTCTCTTTCCCACTTTATTTCACTGAATTATACTTCTTGAGTAACATCTTCAAACCCTTATGTTTTCGATTACTGCTTATACTTTTACTACCTCTACTAGTATGCGATTTGAATCGACAACTCCATCTCTGTGCTAATGTAGTATGGCAACTCGACCTGATGTAAGTACGAAGTTCTACGTTGTTGCTGACTGACTGAGTGGCAGCTTATTCAGTGATTAACGTAATATTAAAATTAGTCGCACTGTCCTGAATACATTTTGAACACAGAGCTTCATCAACTTCATTACTGTTCATTATTTCCTGATACTAGGACAGTGAGAAAAGCTAAACAATGGTTGGGTAACAGTAGCATCGAGGGTTAAACGATAGTTGTATTGGATTCTCATTTGTTGGCATATCATGACTTCCTAAGTGCGGTCCTAAAGATCATCCCACTCAGTGATTTTAGATGTTATCAGACATAACTCAGAATTAAATTTAATGGCGATCTCACTGTTCTTCTTTATCGTGTTTTTTTTCTAAATCTGTATTGATCACTTCCACCTGAAACGTAGTTGTTAGATATTCCAGGAAACCCACAAATACCAGCCGCCAAGTCCATGAGATTATCTAGGTCGTCAAATTATAGGAATCTCTAAAAATATTATGTTAATAATTTCACTGGCTTGGAGCTCATCACACCGTCCATCATTTAGTTTACGTCACCTTTATGTAATTCATTTTCCCTAACATTATTATAATCAATACAAAACCTTTTATTGCCAAGCATTATGCACTGTTTTAAATCCCCGGTGTAGAGCTTGTAGTATAAATTTAAGAATACTCGACTTTGACCTCCACACACAAAACCATCTTACTGCACCCTTAGTTAAACATCGCACTGAGTTTGGCATTTTCTTTACCCTATGATAAGTGCTTTAAATTTTCTGATATTTGCTAATTCCAATGTTTTCTGGCTACCTCCAATAGCACCTGTTATTTATATTCATTTGTTTCATTTAAAGTGATATGACCTGTATATTCTGATAGACTAATTATGAATGGGATATTTTGGTATAAAGGCTTTGTGTAAACCATAAACTGCAGTGATACTTATAGCGATAATTTGTAGTTATCGTCATATTACGTAACTTTGCTTTATCATTGTACTTATTATACCTTTGTTGTACCCTAACTAACTGAATTCCCCATTCCGAATTAGAATAATATCAAACTGACTCAATACTCATACAGATAACTTCTAATAAACTTCTCTCATTTCAATTTTCAAACTAAAATGTTTATATTAACGTCGATTATTTTTGTTGTTTAACGATTTATGTACCTGTGTCATGTTCATTAATCGAAAGATCCGCCATTTAATAGTGTATATTGAGCTTAATTTTTATGTGTAGGTTTTATCCGCTATTCTGTTTATATGAATACTTTTGGGGGGGGGGACTTGACATGAAATTTACGAACGTTTTCTCATACCCTAGTTCTCAGTCAGTAAAACTCAATGTAGAACCTTGCACGTATGTACATCGGTTCAAGTTGCCATAGTCCATTAGTACAGCGAGGTCAAATTGTTAAGGCAAATCTCAGTAGTTGAGGTGATAATAGTATCAGTGGTGATAGAAAAGATTAGGTATCAAAGATACGATTCAATAAAATAGAAATTATTGAAATAAAAAAATCATGCGAAATTCAGAAACTCAGAATCCTGGGAAGATAAAGAACGGATGCACCTATGCTATTGCAAATGATCTCGAACCATGTCTTTGAAATTCTCTAACTACTGGTTACGAGAACCACACAGATCCCAACCAGGTGATGTACACTTCATGAACTGGTGTCATTTTTTATTTGACCCCCATCCCCTAGTTTTCTTCTAGCCTACCCCCCATCGGGGTGGGCATCCGTCGAGCATTCTCTTATTCTACTTGTGTTGCCTCAAACAAGTCACCGTTATAAGAAAAAGATGTTGATCCATTCCAAAGGTATGTGATCCCTAAGATACTAAAAGTAGGTCCTGGGTTCGAATCCCGCGGGGTGCGGGATCGTGGATGCGCACTGCTGAGGAGTCCCATACTAGGACGAAACGGCCGTCCAGTGCTTCCAGGTTTTCAATGGTGGTCTAGCTTCAACTGACTCATGATTTCAATCTGTAAAAGTTTCTTATTTGTAATTTGCCATATTTTCGGCCTGAATATACTCATAAAGAGATCTAGTTCACCTGTTATAGGCGATAGTGATAAATAGAAATGGATGGTTGTTTAGAAATGAGATTTATTGAGTTTTGAAAAAACCAGAATGATTTCAGTTAGAAACATAATTGCTTCGAGTACATATTTACTTTTCGTTAAATGGTGAAAAGCAGACATACTTAAGATTTTTTCCCTAATAGCATCTTAGGTGCGCACTGTAGTACGATACTTATAAACTGAGATAAAAATTGTAATCTAGTACTTCCTAGTTTTCACTGGTCCCCCAGCTAATATCTGTATATGATAAATAACCTCAAAAATATTCACCTAGTTGATATAAGCCTAAGTAAAAACTTTATCATTGTTAAAATCCAATTTGTCAATAATGAATTCTATGTATATATGTATTGTTATGTGTTTTATTCATTTAGTGGAAGTTTAGTAGAAAATAATTCCTAAATGCTTTTTTTTCTTGTCCTATTGTTTACCATTAATTTTACTAAGCTTTAGAGTCTTTTTAAAGTCATATGATAATGTAAATAGTCGATACGTTCTTAAAACACTATGCAATTTGTCAATTATATATGTATTAATCACTTTATTTTGTTCAGGTGATTCTTTTGGCTCAAATATTATGGCTCGTTAAATTCATATTTGTCATTTTTATCACAATTGAATTATCTGTATGCACAAGATGGAGTTATTTAACAAATAGCAGTATATTGGTTCAAAGCTGGACTGATGTCTTTCAACCACCGAATCAATGTTGGGCCTCACTACCATTTTTTGCGTCACTTCTAGTTGTTGGTTCTGTGATGACAATTATAGTTCAAATCATATTTGTTAGTATTCGATTAAGTAGATTTTGGGAAATTCGACGATTTTGTACCTATATATTAAATATGCCATCTAGTGATGTTGGATTAGCTGATTTAACATGGTCCGAAGTACAACAACGTTTACTTCAATCACAGTGTGATTTTCAATTTTGTGCGTACAAAGTTAATTTAGATGAATTAGATATATATAATCGTATACTTCGGCATAAAAATTATTTAATTGCAATGATTAATCAAGATATTATTCCTATCAGATTTCGTATACCTTCTAGTTTAAATCCTCAAATGGTTTATTTACCTGATGGTTATCTACTCAATTTGAAACTTATCTTGTTTTGGACACCATGGTCACCTTTTCATAATTATTGGCAGTTGAGAGCTGATTATAAATGGGTTACTAAACGTCATGAATTAGCTGTTGAACTAGCTACTCGTATACGTATTCTTGGATTGATCAATCTTCTTATGGCTCCTGTAATCTTCATTGCTCAATTAGTAACGTTTATATGCGCTCATGCAGAACGTTTTCGATATCAACCATCTACATTTTTTGGACGGCGTTGGTCTAATTATGCCCGCTTGTATTTACGACATTTCAATGAACTTCAACATGAATTTGAAACACGTTTGAAACAAGCATATATTCCAGCTTCTCGATATCTTGACAGTTTTGTATCACGACCACTTACAGTTTTAGCTGAGTCAGGAGCTTTTATTTTCGGTGGTGCTTCAGTAGCCTTTTTTATTGCTGGTCTTATACGTGAACAAATGATCCATTTGCCTGGATATTTAGCTATACTAGTTGGTGGTGGTTTATTGGCTAGATCATGTCTTTCGTTAATTCCAGATGAGAATATGGTTTATTGTCCGCGTAATTTATTAGTTTCAACCCTGATGCGTATCCATTACATGCCAGATCATTGGAAAGAACAAGCTGGCACACATCAAGTGAGGTCGGAATTTTCACAATTGTTTCAGTATCGTATGGTAGGCCTATTGGAAGAGTTATTTTCACCAATTATTACACCTTTAATTCTTATTTTTATTCTTCCTAATCATACTCTCGAAGTTGTTGATTTTCTTCGAAATTATACTGTTGAAGTTCCTGGTGTTGGAGATGTATGCAGCTTTGCACAGCTGGATATACGTCGTCATGGTGATCCTATGTGGCAACCAAATACAGAAAGTAGCGGTGACGATCAAAGTGAAACAGATAATGATGATCATACAAATGCAATTCACTCTTGTTCGAGGAAAACTATCAGGTCTAGTAAACGGGCAGAAGAGATAACTCCAGCATATAACTCTAATGAACAGAATGAAAATACTGCACAAACTAATCATGGTGATTCAATTCAACACAGTGCTGCTGGTGGTAAAATTGAACTTAGTCTTATGCATTTCCATCTTACTAACCCATCTTGGCGACTTCCACCTGATGGTTTGGCTTATCTGAAATCAATCAGAAATCAAGCATTATTGGACCTACAACAACAACAGCAGCATTTAGAGCAATTCCAAGATAGTTGCAAAAATAATACTCAAACTTCGAAAATTACTTCACAACCAACCTCGGGAATGTTCTCAACTCTGTATGGAACACAAGAAAGTGCAATGACTAGTATATATCGAAGTACACACCCTCACCTTCCCAATGCACCATGTATTGAAAGTTCAGGTGTCCTGAAAAATGTTTCTCATTTACCAGGTTCTGGACTACTATCTGAAAATACCTATGGTATTGTAGGAGCTATGGCTGAATCTATGAGAAGTTCAGGATCTCAGTCAATGTATCGTTCCGGTTCCAATCTCCGTGAACCTCAAGTACCAGAACCTAATGTAAGAAGGGTTTCTCATAGTGATAGTGGTACTAATACATTACCATCATGTACCAATTACAACGTTGCAAAGATTTCCCCAGAAACTAATATTGTGCCACAGAAACCTAATTCAGAAATGATTAGATCTCAGCTTGGTCCAGCCGTATTTAATTATTCTATGCTTGATGGACCTACACCTATAACCATGAGCTTGATGGCAGCATCAGCACTGCATTCTGCTGATAACATGGGTCTTCCTTTTTACCAACCTTATAATTCGCAGATCGAGGATGGTTTAAGCCAGCATACCGGTTTTAATAACAGCCTCATTGGAAGTGTAGGAGGCCGCCGCTGCACAGTAACTGACGTACTAACAGCAGACATGTCAGTAAGTGCTCTTTATATTCACGAGCTTTTCCATAGAAGACGACAACAACGACAGAACCACGATTCGAGTCGGGGCTATAGTTCACAGCGTGGTATGACAGGTAGTACTCCTGGTGCCGATCCCGGAAACAATAAAACTTTTCCCTCTACACAGTCATCAAACCCACTAGGTGTAGGTGTTTACTCTACATCTGGATACTTACCTAGTTATCAGTTGCCACATGTTTCATTTGCTCCGACTACATTTACTAGTAACTCAGCCACTCTACCAGAATCAAGAAATACAGTTGAACGTGGTTCTCTTTATCCCACCTCACCATCTTGTGAGCCTGGAATAATTAGAACGCCTTCAGATGGACGCAGAATACCTTCAGCACATTTTACAGATGTCACAGAAGAAGATGATGAAAATGTTGGGACGCCTAGATCGTGTAGAGATACAAACGTTTCTGCCTATATAACAGGAAATGAGTCACATATAATTCGTTATCCAAGTGGTCAAATAACTACAGGGGGTGGTATCATTACTCTGTCAGGTAGTCCATCGGTACGACCTCAGCATGGTCTGTCATACCAAAATATACAACAAACAAGTGATCCAAGTTTGGGTTCAGTTCCTAATATTGATAGTGATCCAGTATGGCCTGATTTGCCTCCAACTAATTGTTAATCTTATTATTATACACACAAGTCGGTGTTTGGGTGTTCAACTGTGTAAAGTGGTAAATGGATATAGTTTTAACTTTATCTCACCTACCCAATCACTAATAGTAAGAATAACAATGAAGTGAATCACCATTAATTTATTTCAAATAAGTTTTTAAGCACTCAGTAGCACATGCATCCATTCATATTTCTTTACTTTCTATTTGCTTGATTACCCTAGCTAAGGTGTATTTCAACCTATCCAAACTACCAAATTAAAATTACATCCACATTAGATTGAACATATTTTTGCTAAATTCCTTAAACTTGCTTTATTAATTATGTTAACATCACTTCACTTCCTTTTTTGATGCAGCTATATATATGAGGTGACTTTCGGTAACGCAATAATAGTTTAAATGTTGTTAATTGTTTTTATTTGTAATCCCTATGCAATTTGTTGAACTCTTGTAAATAGGTTTATATTTTACCAAAAACGGAAACTCCCATAGTGTTTTGTTTTCGTATATTTTTGATTATTTAATGGTCCCAGTCATTTTTCCTAATCTAAATTAATAAAATACAACCCAGCACAACAAGTGTATTGGTTCATTTCGACATATTTTGGAAAAAAAACTGCAAAATTAATTATGAGAAACTGATCTGTTAATTTTATGATTTAGAGCTAGATAAATAGTGAATCCCTATAATGATGTCAGTCTCAAATCATCCGCTTCTATTGTCGTACGAATCTCTATGAGTACTTTTTTCAGTTTATAATGTTAAAGAAAATATGCAACCACGTTATGAGTTGTATAACGGCTAAGTCAAACTTTTGGATTTTCTCATAGTTTACAACTGTTGAAACAAGCACTAGGCTTCTACGCAAGAGGTATGCTTATGTGTAACATATTTTAAATATCTCATTTCATTTAATGACCTACTAAATTACATAAAAACTACTTTTCACCGAATTATCTTGACTCAGATATATCAGTTGGAAAGCCTCGTTTATTATAAGTATAACTAGTTTTTCCGTCGCAATGAATCTCTGCATTAATACGAAAAATGCATGTTATTTTCATTTATTTTCACGTAGCCATCTTACTCAGCTAAAATTAACATGTTAATAACATAAATGGTAAACTCAGTCGACAATTTTCTTCTTAGCATGTGCTTGTTCATGTTTTATTCGCTACCAGAAGTAATATCCATTAAGTTTCTAAAAATATATTCTAAAGGATTGCCTCATTATTGAGAAACTGTTTTACAAGTACTACTGGCCTTAGTTTTTCGATGTAAAATCACCATATTTCTCTATATTTTAGGAGATATACCTGCACTCTGAATTATTGTTCAGTTATGTAGCCAAGCTATTCAAAGAAATTTAAATATTCTTCCCGTAAACCATCAGGGTACAGTGAATAAGACAATATACAGGCTTAGCACTTCGAGCTATTATGCATGTGTTAGTACACTTCGCAACATTAAAAAAGCAATGACTCAGCAACCGTAACACACTTCACGACCACTTGAGTTATAGAAAGCTCTGAACATCAAGCGATCTACTCTTATTGTACAAGAACTGTATGTCGTCTCGAAATGAGTAGGTCTGTAGTGAACAAAAACACAGGTGGGGACAATCGAATGTGTTTAGCACAAAAATTACAGACTATCTCAATAAAATCTGAATACCATAAAGTCAATCGTCAATTTGCAAAATATCAATGCATCATATCAAACTGGACTGTTTCCGTTGCAAACACTAATCCATTGTCTCCCATTCCATTGTGTTCTCGCTCTTCCTTTCTTGATCTTCCCCATTTTCTGCTGCCAGACATCACGTTCTTTTAACTCACGTTATATACTACTCATATCAATATAAGTAGCTCACACCACAGGTTCACTACACGCGAAGGCATTTTAAATACATGTGTGCTCAAGTGTTTGTGTTTTTCATCCATCCTCAACAAGCATGTTTTAAACACAATCCGATTTTAATGTTAAAAATGAATAATTACGAAAAAACTGGTTCATGTCATCTAAAAATAAATGTTCAGTCAGTAAGTTAGAATGATAAAACCACGTCTCGCAAGTATAGGATGTATGTCGGATTATTTCTCACGACGCGCCAACCCCTATGTTGTCTTAACTTTTTTGTATAACAGATAATTATTCTAACTAAAAGATCTAAATCCTCGAAACTGAAAGCAAACATACCCGCCTCTGACAGGATTATCTAAACGAATTATAACAATGAACTTATTTATTGCTACTACTCATTGTCGTTAGCTCAGATTTTAGCATTATATTGATGTGTGATGGTGAAGTTAACATATTATTGGTCATTGAACGTGGACAAACAGCTATAACCTACGGACTATTAAATGTGATTTTTCTTCTGATCGTTGGTTTTTATTCTGGACTCACTGTATGTGACTGATTGTAATTGTATGGGATAAAGTATTCTCTGGTGTTAATCTGGTTCTCTGTTTAGGTCGCGAATCCTGGTTCTGATATAACGTGATTAGTCTTATTAACGTATTGTCGTAATATACGTACGAAAAAAGAATATTGTAAACCATCCCTTATATCATATGTTCGAGTGAATACTTAGGAATCACATGTTTCATCGACACTCGAGTCAGACACTTATACGTAATCTCCCAGCTGAAAAAGTGGAATGCCATCTTGATGTGGAAAAATATGGTCCATGTAGAGGGCACGAAGCTGTGCTCACAATAATCTGACTGATAACATCTGAAATTTGCATAGTTTCCTCAGACTTATATAAACTCCTACTATATATATGACGAGTGTGAATCCTAAGCATTTCGAAACCTACAGGCAGAGGCTAAGGCCCAGTAACTAACACAGAAATGGCGCTAAACCCTCCAACAGGACCAAAGTAACTCAATACTCTCATAACTACCAACCTAGCTTACTTAACCTTATTTCGAAACCAAGTGGTAGCTCTTTCTGCTGATGATCACTAATAGTAATGTGATTTAAATGAGTTAAGACATTACTTGGTTTCGGTTGCTACTATTTCTTTGTGCTTAAAGTTGACGCTGTCTGAGAAGAAATGATTATCTAAGCGAACATCACGAGATGGTCTTTGTCGCCTCTTTTCCAGAATCAGAAAATACCATTAGGACTACCATTTACCGGGAGAAAGCACTATATTCATATCCAATCCATAGTATGACCTCATTCTTGAACCCCATCAAAGCGTGATAACTCAACCCTACGACAGTTGCCTGTAAGTTCCCTATTCTTTAAGCGAACTTAGATGTCTAGTAAGACCTTAAACTAGTGTCCTATAATCAGTATATAACTTCACTGATTTACAGAGACAAATACGGTTATTCCCACCGACAAGATAAAGTTTCGGTTAGACAATTATAACCACATGTAATGAAATTTAGCTGAATGGAATTTTAGTCTAGAAACCAAAACTGTATCTGATTTTTCAAACAGATTCACGATAACCGACTAAAACAATATTATCCTTCAACAAATACGATCTTTTTTAGAACAATGCTCATTGTGTGAAAAACATCCTCCTGATTGTAGAGTGTCTTTTGCAATTAAATCAAAACTAATCGAAAATAATAATGGTTTATTATGCACGGTCATAGAAATATCGACTGATAGAAAAAGTCCAACTAGCTAAGAAATCATGTTTGTTCCATAAGTGAAATTCATTATAAAAACTCAACCAATTGAATACATAGCGTCAAATTAGCAGATAAGAAATTGCAAATTCGTGATAGCAAACACTCATTGGGTTGTTGTAGTTAACTCTAACCTTTGTTGTAGCGCTTTCCAGGACTTTTCAACTTGATACTGCGAACATTCTGGGTCCCATTCTGTACTTAGAATTACATGAGCATAGTCGATAGGACTTTTCTGAGAACAATACTGACCTGCTTCAAACCAAGTGTACCCACCAGTCACTTCAGCAACAGCAGAAGCTTGTCGTGCAAGACGTTCTGATGCTGCTTCCGGACTTAAATTGTTCCTCTCACACAGCCGGCGCTGAGCTTCTGTTTGGGATAAAACTGTTAACCATACCTGAAGATTGAAAAAATTGGAGGTTGAAATAGTTCAACACATTCTGAACGTCTTTGGTCAACTATGGGCCGTTCATCTGTCTATTAGTCAATAAACGTGGCGACCCCCTAGCAGACCTGACCGTGTCTTGGATTCTGTCGTATGTTTTCCAGCATCAACTACTGAGTAAGTTGACATTTGCACTACATTTAGTGCTGAGTACCTGTAGCAGCACTCACATTTAGACCACTAATATAACACCCATGTGTGTTTAATTAAACTGTAAATCTAGGGTAGAAGGACTGGTTAATTCTACTGTCATGCATTTTGGTTAGCCTCTTGCAAAAAACTATGATTCACATGATAAATCCTCGGAAAAGAGATCTTAGGGTCCCTATTATCTGATTACTACCATATTTCATGGTTCCGTATACGAATACTTTATTGCCACTGTTAAGACGATAATAACATACAATTTATTCAAGACACGAAAATATATCTACAATTAAACAACTCAAGGCTTCGGTTTCGATCCCCGACGGGGTCTTTGCTGCGCACCGTTGAGGAGTCAATCCCATACTAGAATGAAAGAGCTGTCCAGTCCTCCTTAGTCTTTAGTGGTTGTTTAAGGTGCAATGTTAATAAAAAAGTAACCAATATAATGAATAGAACGTACCTCGTGGCACATTTCATCCCACCTAGCCTGTAAAAGCACCGCTGCATCTATAATAATAACCGGACGTTTAGGATCCCGATCTTGTTCTAATGCTTTACATTCTATTTCTTTTACAACTGTCAGAATTTTTTTTAATATTTCAGGCCAAACTATGGAATTCAGATCTTTCAGTTGAGCAGGATCAGAAAAAACTAGCCTTCCTAGTAGGCCTCTGTCTATTGCATAGGGTGGCACTGGAGATGCAATTTTTTCTCGTCCAAAATGAGACAAAAGAGCTTGGTGGCAAGGAGTACCAGGACTGTAGATTCAAGCGACAAAAAAGCAATATCTATTTGAGGTATTTTTTAAAACAAAATATTTGGAAATAATATAAACAGTACCGATAACAAAAAAGTCACTACTAAATGAAACACTGATACTTCATATAGAAAAGTCAACTTCTTCAGGGGATTAATAAACCTATACAAAATAATACTGTTGGGAACTTCCAGGTAGACTGACATTCTTATTTTGATTTTAAACGAGGTATGGTTACCATTCAGAATGGATAGCTGTTCACTGAATAAGAGATATCTACTGTCAGCCATTTTGTGAATGTTTCACAAACGACTGAATAACATCATCTGCAGGACTACATACACAACATCGGCAAATGATGCTCAGAGCGGAAGTCTGCTAGATGACATGCGTAAAATACGACCCAGTCAGCGAACCTGTTGTTTTAAGACGAATACATTTAATCACAATCTTAACATTAACCAACTACAACGTTGAATCTCGCCATCTGAGCAATTCCGTCAAATCAACTACGATAAAAAACTAAGTCATCAGCGCCCAGAGGGGGTATGTTTCACAAACAAGGTGAAGCTGCACGTGTTGCATACCTGATCTTTCTCAGATAGAAAAACGTCGTGACGGTACAAAAGGTGACACGAAATGGAAAAAGTTTTGCTTTCACTACATTCGACTTGATCTTGTCCATCAAATTAGCCTGAGCAATAAAACAGCTACCTAGATGCAAGAACTCAACTTATTCTGACGGTACACTACTAAATTTAAGTGTATTATACACTCTATACCTAGTTTCTGTTGAGATACTCTGTTAAGATAAAATTAACGGTAAGGGAAAAACTGATCTAAAAATCACAAACCTAAACATTAAAATGTTTTAATTTAGGAACCTTTTAAGTCTGACTATCACCAGTTTCAATTCACGAAAAATTAGTACACTGAAACTAGAGAATATTACCTGTTATGAAACACTATCAACCAACCTAATTAAAAAATATAGAGAGAGTAGTTTTTCAGTATTGTACAAGAAATTCTTTAAATCATTCAAAATTAATGTCATTTACAAGCACTTACATATATGCTTCATGACCGAGACGATCACAATCGATTACATGAACTTGGTCACTTAAATGTTCGAGTCGTCTAGCCAATGATGATTTACCGGAACCAGACGGTCCTGTTAAACCAATCAAATATGGACTACATGAATTGTTTACAGTTATATTATTAACAGGTTTTAACAGACTGCCTAGTTCATTGAAACGAAGTTTTGAAGAACATAACTTTAAATCCGACAAGTCAAAAGGATAGGCTTTATATTCGTTGGAGATCCTGTTGAAAAGTAGGAAGTAATAGTATAAAGATATACCAGTTTAATAACAACAGTGTAACACAGACATATTTATTGATAATCAAGATATGTCTATATAACATAAGCTATAGATTCACAAATCACAAGAACTGACTGTTAGAATCCAAGAGTAAGCAAAGGAAGCTCAAAAATATTATTTGATTTATTACAGCTTAATCTTTAGACTACTGAATCCCAAATTTGCTGAGTAATTTCACCAGAATGATAGATACATTACAAAATGGGAAATTTGCACTGCAACGATTTGATGCTATGTAGAAGTCTAACAGTTAGGCCCTTAATCATTGATTAATGAGAAACTTACAAAATGAACTTTGTCCAGAAATCTATGATATCTAGTCGTTTTCTTGTATTACATAAAAATGATTGATTCAACTGGATAGCTGTCTTGTCTTTGGATATCAGTTCAATTGGTAGCTTACGTTAATAATTCAGTTTTGTCACTGTAACCATCATTCGGTCAATTCGTATCATTGTAGATTATCTATTGATCAGAATTATTTTGTTTTATTTTAATAATCGGAATTTAATCTATCAAACTATAGAATTTTACGCCATAACACTACTCTCGATTTAGATTTCCAGAGTAAAATATTCTGACAGCATCCAGAAAGAATGTACTAACTGACATTGACATTGCTCTCCCTCCCCTCACCTAATCCTTCATCCAATACAACAATGTAGCACGGATGTAAAGTGTTTTTAATAATGCAAAATTAGACTTCTTAAGAGCACTAACTACATAGAAATATTTTCAATAAAATTAAATTAAAATTCCGCATCAGATCAATAATTATTTGAGTAAAATCAAATCATATTGACAACCTTAAGTACACTGATCAGATTTACGATAGCACTTCTTAGGTTTTTGTGCGAAGTTCACGATACACCTGGAGGTAGTACTTATTTTATTAGAAACTAAATAAGAATTGTCTAAATCTAGTCCAAAAATTGTTTACGTTTTAAAAAAAATATCTTTTATGTGACCACATCGTTGAATGCGGCATGACAAGTGAGCAAACTTACAATAAAAACATGTTTCTGATGTAGGCTGTATATGAGCAAACTTGTGATTCAGGGCGGAGTCAATGATGTTTTTATGGATAAAAAATATTTCTCAGAATAGAGGTTTATGGAGATAACAGTAATCTAATGGTTGAATTGATGTATCGATTCAAGTCAGACCACCATGGGAAACCTGGACTGGTTAACATCAGACATTAACACTGTTGGATTCCGGCCCAGTGGTCTGGAGGTTAAGAGTTCGCGTGCGAGACCTAAGGCCTTAGGTCTGAGTCCTGCGTGCGGGATCATGGATGCATACTGCTGAGGAGTCCCATACTAGGACGAAACGGCCATCCAGGTTTTCCATGGTGGTCTAGCCTAAATCGAATTATGAATTCAACCATTAAAAATATTTCCCAACTCTAAACACCCACCCAAATCATAATCACAGCTCTAACCCTAACCCATTTTTGCTTACTATAATAACTCAACATGGGGTTTACAATTTACATCAAAAATACTTGTCCACCGTAATCTAGTTAATTTTTGTTTTGTAGCTACAGTTTTTTTATTAGCTAATAATAATTTCCCCAGGTTTGTCAGCACAATTTGGCTTCACCCTTTTTCCTATAGTCTCCCTTGATACTACAAAAGAACCAACAAAGAAGTTAGTCTGATTGAAATTAAGTTACAGCTGAACTTTTGCAACCCATCAATAGAAAATCATAGACCTAAGTACCGTGTTTCTAGAGAATGTTCAGTGAAATATACTTACATTTCAAAACCCACCCTTTCTATTTTGATTGATAGAATCTGAGAAACCAGTACTCGCAACGGGAAACTGTGATTTGCACAAGTCAAGATGGGAGATAAACACGACAGATGAGAATTTGTTACATAAGAAAGCAATAAAAACTATATCTGAATCTACGCTGAGATTTTATAAGAGCAGGCTTCTGTCATTTTACGATTTATGTCCTTATATAAATTTATAACCATGTGTCACATTTCATAAATGACTTGAATCAGAGACAGCCTTTCCATAAAAATGTTTTACACCATTCATTTTTGGATTATTATTATTATTATTATTTACTTTTATTGATTTCCGACAGATCTTTTTTCTAACAATATTAAATCCATTTTTGTTCCCAGCATTTTAATGTGTAGGGTCAAAAAAGCATTGAAAAAAGTCTTCATCTAGTTTAAATCTTATCGAGACCACGAACAGATCTCAGCTAGACAACGACTAAAAACCTGTAAGTACTGGATAGGACTTCTCAACAGTATTCATTTACGACAGGAAATCGGACCTAAAACCTTCAATCTCGTGCGTAAACGCCTAATCTTCAGGCCAATCAGAAAAGATTTGATCGTGTACAAGTCCAAGTCAAATCAATTCAATTTAAATGTATTATTGAGATTTACTGTTGTACATATTCGAATAAGACGCTTTTCTGTAATTTCATAAGCATTGAAAAAAAGACAGTTAAAACAGAAATCTAAACCAAGTATATTAAACAGCTAAAAACAAAAATACATTGAATTTAATAAGTAGGTTAAAAAATTTGTAGAGGGAAAAAAGCATTTAAAATTTATGTTTAACTTACTTAGCTGAACATATAAAATTGATCACTTCGATTTTTAACGGCTTAAATCCATTCGCACGTCGTAATTCATTCAATTTTTCACAATTCTATTAGTAATGATATGAAGATTGAAAAATCCTCAGCATAATATCAGTGAGAATCCTGTTATAAATAATTAATTACATATGTGTAAATTTTTGACTACCAGGTCAAAACTTTGTCTAGTTAGATGATTTGTAAACGTTTAGTTTAAGGTTTCTTTCTGCGACGTCTCACACCAACTGGAAAGTTATTGGACATTAAGAGCTGAGTGGTTTTTTCATAATATCATTTGAGACTCCTTAACAATGAACAACCACAGCCCTCTCTTAACAAGACCAAACTCAAGACATTCAAGTCAGGTGGAGAGTAGATTATCGTTAGGTCAGTGATCTAATGTTAATTGCTGAAGAAAATTATTTTTCAAAAAAATTTCCAACATTTTACTCCCCATAACGGAACAGTTTAATTGTTCTGGAAGGATCAATTGTAATTTAATATGCACCGAATTACGTTATTCAATAAAAACAATAGATTCCATCTATTATTACTATTAATGTTACTTGTCAAACAAAATATAATCGAGTGTGTTTTAATGTTTTCGCTAGCAAGCATATATCGTTATACAATGAGCTGTCTTGCTGAACGTCAACGAAAAAACACTGACATAGTAATGAAAATATCAAGCTATTTTTAAGCAAATATAAGATCCATTTAATAAATATACGAACTGAGTTTCTGATGTTTATAGTAAAACTCGTTAAACAGTCGAAAATTCATGAAATATTTGATGGCTATATGTAAAGATAACACATTGAAAAAACATTGTATCATGTAGACTAGGAGTTTTAGTAAGAGCTGTGAAGACTGCATGAATGATGAAAAGCCAAGGCAAACGTTAACATCCTACACTGATACAAAAATATAACATTTGAGGTCTCCTGTGCTTTCTGATCGCCTATTGATTGTCTGAAAGATTGCTGATGTACATAATTAGAGAAAATATATGTAAATGGCTCTGGAGAAAAGCGGAACGATGAGGTAACTGAGTCTGATTTTTGAGGGTTTCCAAAGATGGTTTAAACAAGGAGAAAATAGATTAGAATACTTTATCAGCACAAAAGATGGAGTATTCTGAAGGGGATTATATTTATGCACCTTAAATTTTGTAAAGTACTTATTGGATGGAGTAACAAATTTTAACAAATACGTTTTAAGTGGTGCCTGTTAAAGATAAAAAGCATATACGTGAACAATGTAAAATTAATTTTGGTGGAGTTTTGTTCTCTGAGCTGGATGGTTTGTAAAATTAATTCCATTAAATGCTAAATATGATTTTAAAATTAAATCATGGTAACAACCGACAAACATTACAAAAGTATTTTAGAGTAATTATATAATTTTTTTATCAAAAACAACTCACATCTAAAGAATCGGAGCTGGCTACAATACAGTCAAATTCTGAAGAATATCCAGGTGGACCAAATTTATCAGATAATTTAACAATTTTCATAATTTTGGACTGTACGCCTATATCACTGAGAAAAGTTTGAACAATTTTACTGCGCTTCTCCCATGAAAATATCAATGGGCTAAGACATTTACTTGAAAGTAAATCAGAGCATGTTACACCAACAAGCAAATGTTCTTTAGCCAACAGAGCACCAACGGTAAGTAGAATTTTATGTCCATAATGTAACCGATCAAAAGTACCACCAAGACATACACGGGAGATATCCTCATGTGATTCATCTGATGACGCAACAGTTATCTGATCATCAGTAATTGGTAGGTCTGATTCAGAATTATCTACACAGATGGAAAAATGTTTTATTCACAAATATACATAAAAAAATAAAGAAGCATGCATAAACACCACAAGGGAAGTATGACAGGGTCTTATATCCTGGAAACACAAGGTAGTATATACTCATGACCTGATTACTAACAAGTATATTATAAAAGATCTTACTTTAAAGATTGGTGTATCAAGACAGTGACAGGAATTTCAGTTTGCCATACACATTTAGACAACTCAATTTGAGAAAATCACCAACTAGATCCTGAAAGACAACTTCAGAGAAAGCCATATGTCTGAGATATATTGAAGGGTTTTAATACTTAAGGCCTACTATGGACATCAGTTTTATTAAATGAAGCAGTATTCACTAGATGCGACGATTTGGTTGGTATGGTACACTAGTCGTAAAACCGACAAGTAAATGAGTGAAAGCTATATTGAGATGGTGGAACCGCAATTCAATGACTCTCACAATTTCCAAGTGAATCAAAGAAGTGAAACGTACTAGCCAACTCATAGTAAGCTTACAACATAAGCATGTTTATAGAATGAGAACTAAGAATCAATGATAGAATACAAAATGACAGTTTATTTTTGAATCACTACACGGCATTTTACTCGTAATATGTAAACTGTTATTGAAATCTGTGACAAATATATATACTAAAGACTCCCATTGTGAAAATTAGAACAACACAAATAAGCGAACAATTGTTTTCAATTAGATCGTCATCAGGTTTTACTCTAATATACATGAATATTTATACGAAAATGTTAAACCAATCAAGGCAATATGGGTCAATAATCACAATGAAATAGAATAGGTCACCACACATAATAAGTAAAATTACAAGTTGATAGTAGGAAGAAAGGTGTACTGATAGTAGTAGTAATAATAAAATACGATAACAAAAGTCTTATCAATAGTTAAACGTTGGAAATAGAAAGTCAAACGTGGGTAAATAGACTTGGAATAGTCAACACAAAACATGGCCAGTTATAACTTAACTAAGGATATTTCTCTTAAAATCATTTTTATTTATTTTATTCTGTTTTTGTTATAATTAGCCTTATTTTCACATCAAGTATTTATTTGTAAATTTCCGCCTTTTGCCTTTCGTACTCTTCACTATCTAATTATTTACACACTTCTTATTACGTAATGATTTCAATGTTTTGTGTTGAATATTCCAAGTCTATTTACCCACGTTTGACTTTCTATTTCCAACGTTTAACTATTGATAAGACTTTTGTTATCGTATTTTATTATTACTACTACTATCAGTACACCTTTCTTCCTACTATCAACTTGTAATTTTACTTATTATGTGTGGTGACCTATTCTATTTCATTGTGATTATTGACCCATATTGCCTTGATTGGTTTAACATTTTCGTATAAATATTCATGTATATTAGAGTAAAACCTGATGACGATCTAATTGAAAACAATTGTTCGCTTATATGTGTTGTTCCAAATAGATATCACCAAGCTTGTATTACATTAAATGTGGTAGAATTCGCAACTTTTAAAGATCTGTGACACGGTTTTCTGGACACTTTACTTTGAACCAGATTGCATTTAAGTCTACTTTGGCAAATTATATTTGATTACTTGATCAATAGTCAAATGGCGCCCATCATTTGAGATGGCATATTACTTGGTATTTTATTGGTAAGGTAACAAAACTCAACTAATTACAGTACTTGATACAGCATCATACACTCTCTCTACTATAAAATAACTAAAACCACCAAAAGTTTACTTGTAAAACACCTTTCAATTTAATAAAAAGATTAAAATGTCTTGCCTATGGTAGCATACATAACACGATCACCGTAAAGTGGATTGATATTGTGGGCTTCATTTAAAATCCAAACGGGACTAAATTCAGATTCCTGTGAAATTACAATATCAAACTTTACTGAAGGCTTGGTATACTTGGTGGTAGGAAGAAGAAGACAGACGTTTAGTGATGGGCAAACCTGTAGGTTAAATGAAGTCATATTAGACATAAAACCAACCTTACATGCGGTTGTATAACACAACGTAGCCGTCTTTTTCCAAAACATAAAATCTGAAGGACTTCGTGGAATTGCTAAAAACAGCTTTTCATTCACCACATTGCTAACAAATTTTAACAAAGAGAATAACTTCTGAGAGTGCACATGCGGTGACAAAATGAGTAGGCCAGATCGGTACATATTTAAAGATAATGGATCGTCCTGCAAAAAAAGACATACAGTAAGTCTTAGTTAATGAAAAACACAAGCCTTACACATTTATGCAAAGTAAGGAAAGAGATGAATAATTTTCACCCCATTCACATCACCGCTTCTATAGAGATCCATTAAATGAGATGCTACCAAACATTAGTAACTATCCTAACCTGGTTTTATACTCAAATAAAACCTAATATTAGTGATAAGTGAAAACTTGATTCACTAAAAAATAGAGTATGGGCATAAACATTAACGGCAGCGAGACAAAACTATGTTTAGACCAAATTAAACTTATTGGCTGATTTTGATCATAGTCCTCAGCATGAGAGAATCCAGAGAAATTTCGACTGAATAGAAAAGAGTAGAAAAATGAATTACAGTACCAAATGGAATAAAATCCATGAATACGTTATTTTTGCGTGATTAATTAAATTGTCTATATTGGCTATATGTTCCCAAATGTTATAGTTTGAAGAAAGGAATTGGCGCTCACTAGCAGTTTTGAAACATTTTAACGCTAACTCAACCTTAACCTTAGTTATTATCTCAAATTTAACCTCAGCTATCGCTTAACGGACCTCCATATCTAGTAGCAGTAGATCACGGATGCCTCCAGGTAAGAACCTAGGCATGTTAACGATCAGAAATTGGTAAAACATAGGGATAATGTCTTTAGTCCTGAAGAATATGTCAAGTTTCCTCTTAAAAGACTCCTGGGAAGTTGCTTGGACTAGCTCAGCCGGCAGCGAACCCCAACACTGAACTACTTTTAAGAGAGCTAGAAGAGTGTCTACGGTCCGCTCTGCTGTTATGTGCCTCCATTTTTTGGGTGTTACCTCTAAGGTTTGTGTTGAGACTAAGGTGAGGTAGGTGAATAAGATGTCCAGAAGTGTTAAGGATGATGCAGACACTTTCAATGTCACTC